AAACGGCTCCTCAAAAATCATGATCACTAATCTTTTCATGATTTCCTAATAGCAGTTAAAATTTCAAGTGTTCAGTATTAGAACCTCAAGCATCTTTTTTAATCGTTGAGTGGCAACGGCTTTAAACTCTGGCCCCTATCCATCGGATAGTGAGGCTCTATGAGTAAGTAAATATACTAAAAGGGAATTTCCACACGAAATAAGTAATTTGACATAAATAAAAGAATAAGTTGCACTTTACCAGCCTCAAAATGTGTTATTAGTATTCAGGCGTCCATTTTTAAGATAGCTACGCGTAGGAAACCTTTGTGAGTCCCTCAAGGATCTTCGGCTATCAGAAAATTTAAAGTCAATTCAGTCATGATTCAGAACACGAAAATTCATACTTTCACGCACGCAGGAAAATGTTGATATTATGAAGAGCCGCCTTACCCGGGACATTTTTATAACAAAGGACGCTATTTGTGACGACATGTTGCCGCTTCCGATTATTTTGTCTAAGTGTGAGCTTGGGTCTTGAAATAAATTTATCTCATGAAATTTTCTTTACCAAGGGACATTTTTATGACGAAGGACGCTATATAAGACGGAATGTTGCTGCTTCTATTGAGTGAGATTGTGTCTTGAACTAATTTTATCTCATGAAAAAAAAATTATGTACATCAGAAATTTATCCGTGACTCTTAATGCCACAATTCTAAAACCGCTTTTGTCTTCCCAAACCTAGATAAAATTCGTTTAGTAAGGAAGATTGATTACAAAGATCTTTAAGCCGTTCTCTACATTGTCAGGCCTCATAGGTGCGGTGTCCAAGCAAGCAAATTTAATATTCACAAAATTACGAGACAACCAACGACGAATAACCCACAAACACAATGTTTGTATTCGGCGCACGCCTAACCTTAATTATCGTCTCGACATTAGCATTCGTGGTTTGACAAGTACATGACCTTTACATAAGTATGCCACTCCTTGACAGCTATGCTACAATAGGGATAAAGAAAACTTGTTTAACTTTACGTGTTCGTGAAAGACAAGCGGACAAAAACATAAACTGACCTACAGTAGTGAGCAGAAGTGAGAAAATAAGACACGCTCTTCGATGAATCGGAATTTCCTGCTCTGGCTCGAAAAAGGAAAGGAAGAATTTTTATCGTAAAATCTTGTTTAGTGGTTATCCCCGCGCACGCCAGCTTATCGCGTCCTATTTAAGTAAAAACAAACTTTTCGAAATATTCAAAAGCTGTTCATGTCATATGATAAAATGCTTATTGACTGAGTCAAGTCATACATAATCCCAATTTACACAAATGAAGTTACCGCTTTTCCCAGGTTAGAAATCTTTGATAAACACTGCAGTTTATATGATAATTTGCATTTATCAGTCGGACCAGCTGAACTTTCCCAGCTTCAGTGTTTTTCTTGCAAAATGACAGTTTTCTCAAGAGCTTGAGGGCTATGCCGAATAATAGACAATTCATTCTTTGCTAATACCTCACCTTTTAACTTACCACCTGCTACAAGTTACACGTGACAATAGGCCAGATATGTAACTAATAAAAATACTGATGAAAATTCGCAATCAAGCTCACGCAAGTAAAGAGTAATTTTCTGGGTTATCTTTCAATGAAAAAGACGAAGTATTTCGAAAACGGCAAACTTATATGTACTTCGGCAGAAGAAAAAATTTTTTTTTTCTTGAAATCATAGTCAAACATACAGATGTTTCAGTCTTTATTGCATTTGTGTAGGCTTTCGTTCAGCAATGTGTGTTTGCAGACGTCACTATGAGGAAGTTAAAAATACATCAAACGCTCCTGGCCCCTCCGCTGTTACCTTAAAAATGGGCATAGGCAAGGAAAGGCCTTTCTTACACTGAAAGTTTATAGAAAATGAACAGAAATTGTGGTATTTAAAAGGAAAAAGGCATTTTGCATCAAGAAGAACCTCAATTTGGATGAGGTTATCGTGAACTTTGGAGACAAAGTATAAATTAGCCACTTCAATACCGTTTTGGGGAAATTTTCCTGTGGAACTAAGGTTAGTTACAGATAATATCTCCAGTAATACATTTTTCGCTTTTTAAACCTGATTTTTAGCTTTAAAAAAAAGCCACACTCTCTGCACTGTGACGGGTAAAGACTGGTAGAAAGACAATAGCTCCAACCTTGCAAGGAAGTTTGACCGCGTTGAGCTATTATAAGTACCGTCCCATATTCTTCTGTGATCTGACTTGTTTTCATCGAATCTCAGCGTAAGGTAAAGCTTTCGCTAGGTCTAAGTAAAATCATCGGTGAATGCTTAAACCAGCAAAAACTTTTGCTTGGATCGCGGACAGTACACATAATTGTCACAAACTCCTCGCATAGGAAAATTCGAACTACGCAACTAACTCGCTGCCAGCTGTTCCTTGAAGCAAATAAAATAAGAACTTTAGTGTTCTTTACTAGAAATTTTGAGAAATTTGGTCGAGCTCTCTGATTCTTATCGTGAGAAAAAGTTTAAAGCTAACGGCGCCACAGATAAATTCAGCAGCACATTCGTGACTCTATCAATCACCGAAGTAAGATGATTATTTGTCTTCAAATATTTTTGGTGTGGGAAACAGGGAGTGAAGTAATCTTCGATCTTTCTTAAGTAGAGTAGTGAAACTCCACATGTACTTTTATTTATCAATTGCTCTCACAATCACACCATCTTTGCGGAAAGTCATCAAGCAACACACCGCACTTTCTATCGTTTTACCAAAATAATAACCAACTTGAAATGTTTGGAGAACCGTGCTACTGGAAAAGTTTGTGAATCACTCGCCTCTTACTTGCGATTTACAACTTTTCGAGTGTTTTCCCAACATTTCGAAAGGGGTATTATGCTAGTAAACCGATAGAAAATGTGGTTTATTGCTTTTATAAAATAAACTTAAAACAAAACATATTGTGTTTCAAATTTCTCTGGGTTACCGATGCAATGACGATAGGTTTTTGACCAATTCCGTTTATTTATAAAGCCTGATAACACAACGGTCTGGGAAATGTTGAAATAAAAAATGTTGGATGAACGAATGTATTCAGGCCTTAGGCAAAAACAGTAATCCATTAGTAGTTGTGTCTTTCAGACCTATCGCAAACAGCTTTCCCCCTCACCTGCAGCTGTCACTTTTTTATGTAAGAAAAGAATAAAAAAGGCGTCGATTTTGTACGTATTGGAAAAGACAAGTATAAAGCAAACTATAAAGGAGCCTAAGTTTCTAAAGAAACTGTGATGCTGCGACGGCGGGGAAAAGCTGACGTTTAACCGGCTTTAGGAACACCTCGCTCGATTCTGTGTATGAACACTGGAAGTTACATGGACCCTCTATGAAAACAGTTTTAAGTAAGAGAGGATACGACGACTAGCCAATAAAAAGATTACTTTTAACTTAAACTGATTAAGAAAGCCTTCATTTATCCATATTTCTATCTATTCACACTGAATTCAGGGTAGATTGAAAACGCAAAAGAGTTTCAGAAATAGAATGACATATCTTGACACTTCCCTTAATGATGCCCCAACGGAAGGCAATAAATGATGACCGTTTTGTGTATAATCCAACACGTTATTTTTCTTAAGTCAACTTTATTCAGACTTTGTCAAAATATTTTTTTGAGCCCATATGCATTGTTAAAGATTTGTTAAGAGAAAGGAGAATTTTCAAAATTTAGCTTGAAAGCTTGTATGGACAGCCTAAGTTTTCGATCGATCTTAAATCAAGCGAAACATTCAATTACTAAAATAATTTATCTAGGCGGCAAAAGTGTGAAGGATGCCCTATAAATGATAGGCAATTATAAACTTAAATTATATATGCAAATTAATGTCCGTCTGTAACTGGAAAAACACAGGGATACGGAGAAAATATAAAAGTAATATGAATTGGCGCCTTCAGCTGATATGTTCGATCCAAGCTTCATGAGAAGTAAATGTGGAAACAAACTAGTGGAACTTTTCGGCAGACTGGTGTTAATGACAATAATAATAATGATAATATTAACAATGATGAAGAAAACGATGATTATGATTGTAATCACAAAATAGCAAAACAGGAATAAAGAAACAGAGAAAACAGGTTTGACGGCTTACGTTTATCTTCAAACGTTGGCTTGTCATTAATACTGTTCCTAATTTGAATAAATTGTAAGTAATTGCTTGCGCCTACATCAACAAAATACTCATTGAATGTACATAGTATATGGATAGCTTATATCCGTGGGAGATTAAAAAAAGTATCCGTTGATTGTAAAGGGAGACAATACAACTGTACAAGTTTAAAACTCGAACAGAAATATTACATATGTTTATTTTTTTCCAGTGAGCAATAACTTGCGGTTTGGACATAAAAAAGAATTGGAAATGCATGCTAAATTACACACTTGTATTTTACCTACAAAATGGAAAAAAAAAGAGAGAAAGAAAGAAAAAAAAGGTAGTATGAGATTCTCTAGCAATACAGTCACTCGATCAGGAACGATTATTTAGCTGATAGAAATGCGTAGGCATTTTACGAGTTACCAGTATGATGTTTTATATTAAGTGTATTCTTCACTTGTCGTTAGAGTTGAAATATGAGGGTAGTATTTAAAGCAATTATATGTTAAGGACGTAATGTGATTGTAACGCTGCGGTTAATCTTCATACGTTTTCATAAACTTCACTGTTCCCTTGCTTGGTATTGGATAAACTTACAATTCGAGAAGACGAGACTACCGTTGGGTCACGCGGTTGAAAGACAAAAAAGCCAATAAATAAAAGAATATATAAATAATAAATAGATAGATGATTACAAGTACATTTCGACAGTTCACAAACCCTGAGAGCGAATTAAAGGTGCGGGTGATGTAGTTGGCCGCGAAAGGGGAAAAGCCATTATTTTCATTTTGTTAATCTTCATCTCTCTTCATTTATTTGTTTATTCATTTACTCAATTATTTGCTTTTTAATTTCTTCTATTTTCAGAAGGTGCTATGTTAAACTTAGAGCTACCAAGCCGAAGCTTACCTGCTGTCATAACTGAGGCAATTGCATGCGTTTCATTGAACATCACAAGCATCATTGGAAACAGTCTGGTTTGTATAGCAGCATACAGAAACACAAACCTGCGATCAACCGCCAACCTGTATATCATTGCTTTAGCGGTCAGCGATCTGCTGTGTGGAACAGTAGAGATGACGTTAACTTCCGCAACGCTGATCATCGGAAGATGGGCCTTTGGCGACGCTTTATGCCAATTTCAAGGCTTTATCGATATGTTCACCTTTCACGTGACGCCAGCAACACTTGGTTTGACAGCAATTAACCGCTACGTGAAAATTGTAAAGACAAGCCATTACAAGAAGATTTTTTCGCCCCGCAGATCTAAGATATGGCTGAGTTGCTTGTGGCTTTCCCTTGCACTTTACCTGTTGATTGCTCGAGTCACAAACTGGGTTAAAATCGATTTTATTCAAGGCTACGCAGTGTGCTCCTTTGATTACCCAACTAATGAAAGTCGAATCGTTCATTATTCCATCACTGTCGCATTATTTTTTGTTTTACCGTTGTGTGTCAGCATTTTCTCTTATTATAAGATATTTCTGAAAACCCACGAACATCAACAGAATGTGGTGTCATCGCTACGGAACTGTACTGACAATACTGCAATAAGCAACACAGTGAAAGAAATAAAGCTTACTCGGATGCTGCTCCTTGTGGCAGCGGGATTTTTGTGTTGCTGGATACCAATGTGGGCACTTGTCCTCTGGTTTCGCTTTTCCCCTGAAACCAGCTCAAGAATTACAGCAATGCTTGTTATTTTTTTCCTTTTTCTGAGTGCTGCAATCAATCCCATTATTTACGCCTTTTACAAATGGCGAGTTCCGCAGGGAGTTTCGCAAACTGCTCTGTTGCCGTCGTGAAAGGTCAAGAATTGTGCCAAAGAAAGCTGCTGCGTTTACTACCAACGATCACGTCGAACGAGAGGAACAAGGAGCAAATTTTTAATTCTAGTGAATTTGTGTGAGTAAGACATCCTCTTTTAAAAACAGTACAGAAAAGTTATTCCATCCTTTTTTATCTCTTTTATTACTGTTGCTTTTTGTTATTGCTGTTTCTTGCTGTTGGTCGGTTTTGTTTTGTTTTGTTTTCTACTATACTTGGGCTCGGATTTCTCAGAGAGGCAAACACGAGGGAAACAAGTCGGATAATTTATAGACGCCTTATAAAAGAGAAAGCGGTAAGAGAGTGTGAGAGAGAGAGAGAGAGAGAGAGAGAGAGAGAGAGAGAGAGAGAGAGAGAGAGAGAGAGAGAGAGAGAGAGAGAGAGAGTAATATCGCCTTTTTGAAATTTCAAACAAACCTGAATAGAAAAATCAAATTACTGGCCTCGACTTGAGTAGTGTATTTTGAGGTGCTGATTTAGTTATTGTTTGCCAAAGAAAGCTTCTTAGATGTCGAAAGCGATGTTGCTCGCACCAATCAGACCGCGCTGTCTAATATTATAAACCATTTATGGTGACTTCTCCTTGCCTAGTGCTGAACACGAGAAGACGATATCAGTTCACTTCTAAATTGTGGAAGGGTTGTGAGTACGAATTGGATAGATTTTGCTATGCGTGCGGTGAAAATACAATGACTCTAAGGTGGTAAAATAATAAAGAGTCACATATCTTAACAATGAAATTAAGAGATCCTCACAGCTAAGAACACTACTAAAACGAGTAGTTGTAAATAGGACCTGAAAAAAATTCAGGCCCGTACGGGAATTGAAACCATGACCTCTGCGATACCAGTGCAGCGCTCAACCAATTGAGCTAACAAGCCAACTGGAAGCTGATCAATGAATTGGGCCCAAATAAACATCCAAGTTAATGATGATTTTAGATATATGAAAATTCATATATCTAAATATATATACTACTGAAACGAGTAATGGTAAATAGGACCTGAAAAAAAAAATTCAGGCCCGTACGGGAACATGACCTCTGCGATACCGGTGCAGCGCTCTACCAATTGAGTTAACAAGCCAACTGGGAGCTGGTCAAAATTTAGATATATGAATATATATATATATATATATATATATATTATATATACTCGTTTCAGTAGTGTTCTTAGCTGCGAGGATCTCTTAATTTCATCTCTCCACCGCAGTGCAAGTATATGAATTTTCATATATCCAAAATCATCATTCACTTGGATGTTTATTTGGACCCAATTCATTGACCAGCTCCCAGTTGGCTTGTTAGCTCAATTGGTAGAGCGCTGCACCGGTATCGCAGAGGTCATGGGTTCAATTCCCGTACGGGCCTGAATTTTTTTCATTTCATATCCTAATCTATTCATGATTTCCTGTTAGCAATTAAAATTTAAAGTGTTGAAAAATGAAAACCTCGAGCATCTTTTTTAATCTTTGGGTGGCAACGGCTTCAAACTCTTAGCCCCTATCCATCGGATAGTGAGTTTCTACGAGCAGGTAAATATACTAAAAATGAGAAAGATTTCCATATTTAATTAGTAATTTGACATAAATAAAAGATTAAGTTGCACTTTACCAGCCTCAAAATGTGTTAGTAGTCCTAAGGTGTCCATTTTTAAGACAGCTACGCGAATGAAACCTTTGTGAGTCCAACGAGGATCGTCGGCTGTCAGAAAGTTCAATCTCAATTCAGTTATGATTCAGAAAAAAAAAATTAATCCTTTCACACACACAGGAAAATGCTGATATTATGACGAGCCGCCTTACCTGGGACATTTTTATAACAAAGGACGCTATTTGAGACGGCATGTTCCCGCTTCTACTTATTTTGTCTAAGTGTGAGCTTGGGGCTTGAAATAAATTTATCTCATGAACTTTTCTTACCTAGAGACATTTTTATTACGAAGGACGCTATTTAAGACGGCACGTTGCTGCTCCTATCGAGTGAGATTGTGTCTTGAACTAAATTTATCTCATGAAAAAAATTATGTAAATCAGAAATTTATCCGGGAATCCTAATGATACAATTGTAAAACCGCTCTTGTCTGCCCAAACCTGGACAAAATTCGTTTAGTAACGAAGATTAATTGATTACAAAGATCTTTAAGCTGTTCTTTTCATTGTCAGGCTTGATAGGTGCGGTGTCCAAGCAAGCAAATTTATAATATAGCTAGTAAATTTGTCCAATGAAATTCAATTGCGTGAGCGTGCTTCATTTTCCTATTGTTAGACAAATTTACGCGCTATGTTATAATCTTTTTTTGTGGTTATTCCCGCGCACGCCACCCTATCGCGTCCTATTTAAGTAAAAACATACTTTTCGAAATATTCAAAAGTTATTCATGGTCATATGATAAAATGCTTATTGACTGAGTCAAGTCATACAGAATCCCAATTTACACATATGAAGTTGCCGCTTTTTCCGGTTGCTTTTTCCGGTTGCTAAATCTTTGCTAAACACCGCAGTTTATATGACAGTTTGTATTTATCAGTCGGACCAGCTGAATTTTCACAACTTCAGTGTTTTTCTAGCAAAATAATAGTTTTCTCAAGAGCTTTAGGGCTATGCCGAATAATAAACAATTCATTCTTTTTAATACCTCGCCTTTCAACTTACCACCTGCTACAAGTTACAGGTGACAATAGGCCAGATATGTGACTAATAAAAATGCTGATGAAAATTCGCAATCAAGCTTATGCAAGTATAGATTAATTTTCTTGGGTTACCTTCAATGAAAAAGACGAAGTATTTCGAAAACGGCAAACTTATATGCACTTCGGCAGAATAAAAAACTACTTATTTTTTTTCTTGAAATCATAGTCAAACATACAGATGTGTCAGTCTTTATTGCATTTGTGTAGGCTTTCGTTCAGCAATTGTGTGTCTTGCAGACGTCACTATGAGGAAGTTAAAAATACATCAAACGCTCTTGGCCCTTCCGCTGTTACCTTAAAAATGGGCATAGGCATAAAAAGGCCTTTCTTACCCTGAAAGTTTATAGAAATGAGCAAAAATCGTGGTATTTAAAAGGAAAAAGGCATTTTGCACTAAGAAGAACCTCAGTTTGGGTGAGATAATCGACAACTTTGAAAACAAAGTATGAATTAGCCACTTCAAAACCGTTTTGGGGAAATTATCCTGTGGAATTAAGGTTAGTTACAGATGATATCTAATAATCCATTTCTCGCTTTTTAAACCCAATTTTTAACTCTAAAAAAAGCCACACTCTCTGCACTGTGACAGATAAAGACTGGTAAAGTTAAAAAGACAATAGCTCCAACCTTGCAAGGAAGTTTGACCGCCGTTGAGCTATTATTAATACCGTCCCATATTCTTCTGTGATCTGACCTGTTTTCATCGAATCTCAGCTTAAAGTAAAGCTTTCGCTAGATCTAATTAGAATTATCAGTGAATGCTTAAACTGGCAAAAACTTTCGCTTGGATCGCGGACAGTTCACATAATTGTCACAAACTCCTCGCATAAGAAATTCGAAATACGCAACTAACTCGCAGCCAGCTGTTCCTTGAAGCAAATAAAATGAGAGCTTAAGAGTTCTTTATTAGCAATTTTGAGAAATTTGGTCGAGCTCTCTGAGTTCTTATCGTGAGACAAAGATTAAAGCTAACGGCGTCACAAATAAATTCAGCGGCACATTCGTGACTTTATCAATCACCGAAGTAAGATAATTATTTTTCTTCAAACATTTTTGGTCAGGGGAAACATGGAGTGACGTAATCGTCGATCTTTCTCAGGTAGAGTAGTGAAACTCCACATGTACATTTATCTATCAATTGTTCTCGCCATTTTCGTGGAAAGTCATTAAGCACCGCACCACACTCTTACTTGTGATTAACAACTTTTCGAGTGCATGTTTTCCCAACGTTCCGAGTTGGGTATTACGCTGGTAAACCGACAGAAAGTCTGGGTTGTTGCTTTTATAAAATAAAATAAAAACAAAACATATTATGTGTCAAATTTCTCTGGGTTACCGATGCAATGACGATAGGTTTTTGACCAATTCCGTTTATTTATAAAGCCTGATAACACAACGGTCTGGGAAATGTTGAAATAAAAAATGTTGGATGAATGAATGTATTCAGGCCTTAGGCAAAAACAATAATCCATTAGTAGTTGTGTCTTTAAGACCTATTGCAAACAGCTTTCCCCCTCACCTACAGCTCTCACTTTTTTATGTAAGAAAAGAACAAAAAAAGGTGTCGATTTTGTACGTATTGGAAAAGACAAGTATAAAGCAAACCATAAAGGAGCCTAAGTTTCCAAAGAAACTGTGGTGCTGCGACGGCGGGGAAAAGCTGACATTTGACTGGCTTTAGGAACACCGCGCTCAATTCTGTGTCTGAACGCTGGAAGTTACAAAGACCCTCTATGAAAACAGTTTTAAGTAAGGGAGGATACGACGACTATTCAATAAAAAGATTACTTTTAACTTTAAACTGATTAATAAAGCCTTCATTTATCATGTTTCTATCTATCAACACTGAATTCAGGGTAGACTGAAAACGCAAAAGAGTTTCAGAAATAGAATGACATATCTTGACACTTCCCTAAATGATGCCCCCAACCGAAGGCAATAAATGATTACCGTTTTGTGTATCATCCAACATTTTATTTTTCTTAGGTCAATTCTACTCAGACGTTATCAAAATACACCTTTTGGAGCCCATATGCATTGTTAAAGATTTGTTGAGAGAAAGATGAATTTTCAAAATTTAGTCAGAAAGCTTGCATGGACAGCTTAAGTTTTCGATCGATTTCAATTCAAGCAAAACATTCAATTACTGAAATAATTTATTTAGGCGATAAAAGTTTGAAGGATGCCCTATAAATGTTCGTCAGTTTTAAACTTAAATTATATATGCAAATTAACGTCCGTCTGTAACAGGAAAAACATAGAGATACGGAAAAAATATAAAAGTAAT